AGTCTGTTCAGTTCCAATTCATTTAAAATCATTTGTCCATACAAAAAAAATTAATGATCAGGTTCTCTATCTTCTCTTATTTTCAAATCAATCCTTTCAGTTCATTCTGTCTTTTCTTTGGATTTAATTGCTTTCCTCGCAGCTCTAATATAGGAAGTGGAGAGCTGTCATAGACCCACTCTCCCTCCCCTCTTTGCTCCGTTTCACTTTTTCACTTTCTATTTATTCCAAGCGGGCATGAAAAAAAACTTTAGTATAAAAAGGCAGTTTCTCACCCAGATGATGCACTTTGTCTTTAGCTCCTTGCTCCAGTTGCAGCCGCCCCAGCTTTTTAGCAGCACATATGGCTACTTTCTCAGTCACTCGGTATGAGAGGCTGTATCCAACTAACCAAGAGAGTAGGGTTGCCAGGTCTGCTTCCAAAAAATAGCAGACAAGCGGTGGGGGGGTGTTAAGTAGTAAAAAAATTACAATTAAATTATATATTTTCTTACAAACATTTTAACACGTATTAAAATAATCACTTCAAAACTTACTTAAAATTCAAAACATCAGATATATTATAATAATATGTAAAATGTTAAATTACATTTTATTTGCTGTCGTGTGTATTTTTTATTTGACTGCGCAGCTTTGATCAATTCTTTGTGTTTAAGGAATAATTCTTTAATTTCAGTACAACGTTGAGAAATATTAAAAAATATACAAAATTCACTTCGAACTGATGGTACAAGCAGTCGGTTACGTTCGTCAGTCCACAAATTTCCTATGATGCTGAAAATTTGTTCAACGTTTGCATTTGATACCAGAATTGATGCACAATACTGGAACAGTTTCAGTAAACTCGGACCTGGCTCTTTCTTGAAAAAGTATGTCCACTTATCAAGGGATGAATCGCCCTGCAGATGAACATAAACTTCTAAGGCAGAAATTTCATCGAAGAGAGTGTTGGGTGGAAGTTCTTCTCGCCATGGTGATAATAACCAGATGTTCGTCATTTCTTCTAAAGTTGGAGGATTATTGCGATCAATTAGATTGAAACAATTTAGCATCTCATATAATCAGTGAAATTATACCACTTTTCTAGGTACACAATGGCTCTTTGATACACGTTGATGGCTTCTTTCTTGAACTTTTGCACGGCATTCTCAGGCAAATGTTTTTTACGTAAGGCAAATAAAACTTTCATTCCAAAAAACTGCTCATCGTATTTTTTTTGCAAAGAATCACGCAGCTTACACATGATAATGTGAAGATCACATGCAAGAATTTTCTTGCTTTCCAGCTTCAGTAGGGTGTCTTGCATTATTGACATGAAGAAGTGCGTGAAATATAAATACAATTCTGAAATTGTTGGTTCATCATCCTTTGCGAGTTCATTTTCCTGATCCGAAATAAGGTTCCAGATAACCTTATGGCATTCATCAGTTCCAAGAGAAATAAAATATGATTTTAGAGGTATCCAGTTTAAAAGAAGTCTTTCGACCGCTTTAAACAAACTTAACCAACGTGTTGGAACATGACGCAAAACTTCATGGAATTCTGACTCGCAAAACTCAAAAAATGATTTCAACTCTTCTCGTTTCTTCGCAGAATTCGAAAATTCGGCAAAAACCTTCAGCGCTACATTTTCGATATCAAAAGATAACTGCTTTAATGCATTTTTTGCGCTGTTGTGTAAAATGTGATTATTGCAATGAGCATTTGATCTTTGTCTCATTCTAACTTATGAAAAAAAAGACAAAACGTGATTCTCCTATCCTTATTCTCTTAGACTATACAGCTTTAGATTACGTACCATTTCATCATAAAGCTTTTGAATTAAAAAAATGTCCACTATTTTGTGAAAAAAAAAATAGTGAACATAATGTGAAAAAAGTGGACTGTCCGCTCAAATAGTGGACACCTGGCAACCCTTCAAGAGAGGCACGGACAGACTATCACAGGGATTCCCCAAAATCCCACACATAACTGCGTCTTGAAATACATTGTTAATAACTAAAAAATGTGATGGGGATTTTGAGGAATAAATTCAATAAATGGAGAAAAAATCAGGGTTGCTCGGATACCATTTTGGAAAATATTGAATTGAAAATGAATACAACAATGGAGAGAGAATGGAAAGAGGAGTAGGAGTAGATAGGAGGGGGAAGAGAGGAAGGAGAGAGGAAGGAGAGGGGAACAGAAAAAAGGGAAAAGGAGAGGAAGAAAGGGAGGGGAAACAAGAGTAGGAGAGAAGGTCAAAAAAAGAGGAAGAAAAGGAGGAGTGGGGGAAAGGAAGGGGAAGTAGAGAAGGGGAAAGAGAGGTGGAAAGAAGAAAGTAGAAAAGGATAGAAGAAGGGAGGGAAGGGAAAGAGAGGAGAAGGAGGAGGATTGTTGTAAAATAAAGGAGATGGAATGGTAGAAGGGCAACCCCAAGTATACTCAAACTTATTAGGATGAAGAATGAGCTAATATGAAAGTTAAAAGAGAATATGTATGATTAACAATGGATAAGATAAAATAATTAATTGAAATAATGTTAAGAAATTGGGATTTGAAGGGCGGATGGTGATACTGTTTATATAATAAGTATAGAAGATATTAAGACAAGATAAAAAAGTAGGGGAAAATATTTTGGCAGAAATTGAAATATGTAAATTTTATTTTGATGTGACAAGTTGTATATGATATGATTTGGTCAATACTCTATTCATAAAATATATATGTGAAAGAAAAAATCAATAAAACTTGATCGCCAAAAACCTAATCTTGCGTAGCTTCTTCTCCGGTAATATCACACTACGAACCAGAGCATACAAAACATTTGTTAGACCAATTCTCGAATTCAGCTCATCTGTCTGGAACCATCACTATATATCGGACATCAATACAATTGAACATGTCCGCAAATATTTCACAAGAAGAATCCTCCACTCCTCTGCTTGCAACAAAATACCTTATGCTACCAAACTTTAAATTCTAGGTGTCGAGGTCCCCTCGACACCTGGAGCTCTAGTAACGACCGTGGATCTTGTAGCGACTTTGGATCCTGATGTTATATGCCATACTTGGAGCCTGATGTTATATACCATACCTGAATCCAGCGGCATGGGGGGGGGCTGGTTTGCATATGCTGTTCACATTGGTGGTGGGGTGTTTAGCGTAACGATAGGCGGTCGGTCACACTGCGGTCAGAGTGGAGGGTTTAATTGTGCCGCCCTTCCGTTCTGTTAGGATGGGATAATGGATTTGCTAAATCGCGCATGGGCAGAAGCCATGGCAACCCGGAAGGGCGTGCAATCAGCTGTAATTGAAGGCGCGTATATTTAAATGGCGTGGGAAGGCAGCCACTCCCAACGCCAACTTTGTGTATTGCCGCATCAAGTGTCAGGCTTGCTGCTGACGTTGCTGGAAATCAGTTGAAGTAAAAAGCGTTTCCAACAAACAAGACCTGTTCGTAGCGTTTTCTTTCTTCACCGAGCTGGACATGCAGCTGAAGTCCTGATACTAGGCTTAGAAAACCTAGAACTATGTCACCTTCGGTATGACCTAAGCATAGCTCATAAAATTATCTGCTACAATGTCCTACCTGTCAATGACTACTTCAGCTTCAACCACAACACACGAACACGCAACAGATACAAACTTAAAGTGAACCGCTCATAAAATTATCTGCTACAATGTCCTACCTGTCAATGACTACTTCAGCTTCAACCACAACACACGAGCACACAACAGATACAAACTTAAAGTGAACCGCTCCAAACTCGATTGCAGAAAATATGACTTCAGAATGGTTAATGCCTGGAATGCACTACCTGATTTTCATCCCCAAACCCCCAAAACATTAACCTAAGACTGTCTACTGTTGACCTCACCCCATTTCTAAGAGGTCTGTAAGAGGTGTGCATAAGAGCACCAGCGTGCTTACCGTCTCTGTCTTAATGTTTCCTCTATTCGTATCTATTTTATGTATTCAATTCATGTTTATACTTATATACAATATATTACCTAATATGTTCTTGACAAATAAAAATAAATGAGTGAATGAATGAATGAATGAATGAACGAATGTCTGCCTGCTCCTGGAGAGCTGGCCGCTTGCTCTAGCTTCTCTGCTCCCTTGGTGATTGGGGAATGGGCCTCGATGTATTTTATTACAGATAGTCCTTGGGTTACAACCATTTGTTCAGCGACTGTTCAAAGTTCTGTCACCAAATGAATGGTACTTATGATGGGTTCTCTTAGTTCTGGCTGTCACAGTGTTCCTGCAGTCAGGTGATCACGATTTCTGAATTTTGCTTAATGGACCATGTGGTCCTTGTTTAATGATTGCAACCAGGACGGCCAGAATTCCCATTGCTAAGTAATGTGGCCGGGTGCCAACACACTTTATAACTGCATCGGAATTCAGTCTGTTTTTCAGTGGATTACTACTTGTGCTTCAGGTCCCCCTCCCCTGCTTTTAACAGTCTAAAACTCCCAGCGAAGCCCTGTGAGTTGCCCTTCATCCCAGGAAGAAGAGGGCTCTGTGTCTCCACATGATGGGCTCTCCAGTACAGGCCAGAGGGCAGTGGGAAGGCTGCTAAATTCCTTTACATCTCGACTGCTTGATTTGCTAGGTAGACTGTGAGGCAACATGTTTTTTAATTAAGCCATATGGTTTTATTGTTTGGGAACATACAGTATATATTTCTGGTTTTTAATCCAGAACATGGTTGTGCAGAATGGTTTTTGAATACAGAAAGTGAACCTGCAGAGCAACAGAAACAAAAGCCTTTCTTTGAATAAGACTGATCTCAATCCTTTTCAGACATTATCCAAGTCTAAGAAGAAGCAGGAAGGTTCAGTTGCGCTCTTTGCTGCATCATTTAATTTAAAAAAATTCTTTGGGCCTTTTTTCATCCAGAATAATATTGGTGATATTTGTATGTGTCTGTTCCAGAATTTTAGAAAGAGCTGAAAGACAGACCTTCTTGAGCTTTCATATTCATTGTCTTTATTCTATTTTTCTTTAGGAGGGAGATGTTTGGCCCAATTCTACAACTGAAATCAGTGTGATGTTCAGGCCACAAGAAGCCGGGATGTATCTTCAGACGGTCTACTGTGATATTACGGGTATAACCATATACATATCCCTATTTTAGGATATGGGTGATTTCAGTTTCCCAGTCTTGTGAAAGCTGGTCCTGATATCCTGATCCTCAGTTACGGCAAACATAGGAATCTCTTTCAGTCATAATTAAGCTGAAGCCTATGGCAGGGGTCACCAACCTTGGCCACTTTAAGATTTGTGGACTTCAACTCCCAGAAGTCCCCAGCCACCTCACTTTGTGTTTGCCAGCAAATGTTGAAAAAATTTGTGCAGCGGGGCAGGAAAAAGCACAATGGATGTGAGGTATTGAGAGGTCTGAAGTGTGTGCCCATACAAGCTATGAATTCCTTTTCCCTTTCAAATCCAGATTGTTGTACAGCTCAGGGGTGAAATCCTGCAGGTTCTGACAGGTTATGGAGAACCAGTAGCGGAACTTTTGAGCAGTTCGGAGAACTGGTAGCAGAAATTTTGAGTAGTTCAGAGAACCGGCAAATATCACCTCTGGCTGACCCCAGAGTGGGGAGGGAATGGAGATTTTGCAATATCCTTCCCCCAGTAGTGGGGAGGGAATGGGGATTTTGCAGTATCCTTCCCCTGGAGTGGGTTGGGAATGGAGATTTTGCAGTATCCTTCCCCTGCCACGCCCACCAAGCCATACCACACCCACCAAGCCACACCCACAGAACCGGTAGTAAAAAAATTTAGATTTCTCCACTGGTACAGCTTCAAGAGAGTAATTGAAGATTTGAAATCTTCATTTTTCAGCCTCTTTTTCAGCTATTTTTGGGTGGTTTTTTGGCCCATTTTCAGCCGTTTTTCAGCCATTTTCAGGCCGTTTTTCAGGCCATCTTGGATGTTCAGTAGTAAATAAAGAGGGAAGTTGTATCTTGTTGAGGCCTTTGACTCAATTTCCAAAAAACGGGAGGGGGCAGGGCCAGCCAGTGGTGGGATTAGCCGGTTTGCAGAATTTTAACAACTGGTTCGCCTGAACTTGTCCAAACTGGCTGAATTCCACCTCTGTTAATATATATTGCAAGTCCATGTATGACATGCCACATGATGAGTAAATGAATAAATAGCAGAATTCCAAGGCAAGAAGAGAGTGATTTGTGCACAGCAAGGAGCAAAGCTCAATGCCTCCACTTTCTGATCTTGTTTGTTTTGTCTAATATTGTTTAAAGAGTTGTGCCACCATTAATTTCCTGAAGATGAGTTATCATTTCTACAGGCCGAGAGACCAGGCTCCCTCTGCGTATCAAGGGGGAGGCAATAGGCCCCAAGCTACTTTTCAACTTTGATCAGCTGGACGTTGGGAAAATTTTTGTGGGATCATCTCACAGTTATGAGGTAAATTCAGTTGTTACACTTGGTGCTCTCTGAGCTTGGTTGTTTGCTTGCAGATGTTTCTTTACCTGATTAGAGAACATCATAAGTGCTGGGGATTGTGGGCTCTGCTCCCTCATTATATATAGTAGCTTGCTTTGCCAGTGCTGGATAAGGGTATTGTTTTCTGTTTGACTGTTTGCCTAGTGTTAATCCCTGCTTATCTGGATATTGGCTGCTGGAGACAAGATGTTCTCATATTTTTGTTTCCTTCTTTGCTTTTTATTGCCCATTTCTAATGTTGTGTAAATGTAATTTGTCTTTCTTTGGGTCTATTGTGGCTTATTTGTCTGAATGCCACGCTTCCAGGAATTCCCTAGAGTTTTTGGATTTTGCTTGGTCTAGGATCAGTAAGATTCTCTTTCCTCTTACAATATGTTGATCAAGTTTGTAGAGGAAACTGGGGAAATGAAAAATTAGGAGAAGAATAGTATTTTATTTCCCTTTTAAAATGCCGAGTTCCTTCTTCCTCTCTGTCCTTCACTCTTCTTTCAGGCCTTTCCTCACTATTGAGCGTAAGTATTATTTGCTGATCTTTAAACCAACACATCGTTGTTATAAAATTGGCTGCCCTCATTGTCCTCCCTCTGTAGGTCTGTTCTGAGTCACTGCCAAATGCTCTTGCTTTGCTTGTGAGTCTTATCAGTAGATTCATTTATGTACTTGCTTGTCAAAATTAGATACTGTTTCAATTTAAGCAGCTCAGCAGTACAAGCAGTCCTGGGCTTGTATCCATAATTCTGACCAAAATTTCTGTTGCTAAGCAATGTAATTGTTAAGTGACTTGTGCCCCATTTTACAACCTTTTTTGCCCTAGTTATTAAGCAAACCACTATAATTGTTGTGAATTCTGTGGTCGTTAAGTGAATCGAGCGTTTCCCCCATTGACTTTGCTATTCAGAAGCCCCTAAGAAGGTTGCAAATAACCATCCCAACGGATGCTGCAACCATTGCAAAAAAATGCTGGTTGCCAAGCACCCAAAGCTCAGTCATGTGACTGTGAGGATGCTACCACAGTCATAAGTGTGAGGACTGATCATAAGTCACTTTTTTCAGTGTTGTCATAACTTTGAACAGTCATGGAAGGAATGGTTGTAAGTGGAGGACTACCTGTATATATCATGAGTGCAAAAGCATAAATATAGTGCATAGAATATATACCGTATTTTCCACACTATAAGATACTCCGGACTATAAGATGCACGTTAGCTTTAGAGGAGGAAAACAAGAAAAAAAATCTGCCTCTGCTTCCCAGCATCCATCCAGTATTCATCTAGGTAGTATCCTTGCAGCAAACAGCAAACATGTTATTGCTGCTCCAGCACATGGCTCGTCAAGGCTCCGCTCCATTACGCCCACCACTGATCAACTGAGCTGAGCTGCTGCCGCCACCAGGGAACACCGGATCCATCGCTGCCGAGCACCTGATTGGCGATTAGATCGACCTCCCGGAATACCACCGATCAGCTGTTTTAGGTGATGGCGATCGGTGGCGGTGAACAGGTGGTGGCAATCAGGCAGCGGTGAACAGGCAGCAATAGGCGGTGGCTATGATAGACTCACAAGCGAGGCAAGAGCATTTGGCAGTGACTCAGAACAGACCTACAGAGGGAGGACAATGAGGGCAGACAATTTTATAACAATAATGTTTTGGTTTAAAGATGGGCAAATAATACTTATGCTCAATAGTGAGGAAAGGCCTGAAAGAAGAGTGAAGGACAGACAGGAAGAAAGAACTCAGGCTGGTGGTGGGCATAACAGAGTGTTCCCTGAGCAGCTCAGCTCAGTTGACCGGTGATGGGTGCAACAGAGCAGAACCCTGATCCAACTGGGTGGCCGATCCAACTGCCAATCAGCTGCTCAGCAGCAAAGGCTCCAGTGTTCCCAAGTGGCAGCGGCATTTGCCACCAACCCCTCTCCCCCTCACACACCGCAATATTCGCTCTATAAGACGCACAGACATTTCCACCCACTTTTTTGGGGAGGGAAGTGCGTCATATAGTGTGAAAGTATAGTAATATCTAAATAAGAATATATACAACCCAAATCTCCCAATGTCTTCTGAAGCAATCAGATTTTTACAAACTTTGGAAGGCCTCGAGGGGCATCTGCCCTTCACCAAAGGGTATTCAGGGTCGGTCAGGCCAGAGGCTGGTGATGAGAAGAAGCCTAGGCAACACTCTCATGGGACCTAGGTATTTCTACAAAATAAATGGGTATGGATTCAGAGATGCCATGGTCACGGTGCTGGACCCAGTTGCCATGATGTGCATTGCCAGAGCTACCCATAACGAATGTTGGCTGGGTCACTTCTTCAGGTCAGTTCTAATGCAATCCAGTGCCAGAACCCCATTCAAATGGATACCTTTGAACTGAGGCTTTTCATGCAAATTAGAAGTAGAGGTATCACTGTTGGTTCTTGAACTGCCAAGTTACTTCCCCCACTCATCTTTCTCCCTTCTCTCTGTGCCAGGCCATCTTATCTAACCAAGGAGCTATTGATGCCCTCTTCCACCTGATGTGGCCCTCCACTGTGCTGGGTGCCTGCTTTGCCTTTCAACCCAGAGAAGGAATCATTGAGCCAGGTTGCCATCAGGCCATTCACATTTCTTTCAGCTCTACTGTCCTGGGCCCTTTCTCAGAAGAGTTCAAGTTCCATGTGAATGGATCTCCCCAGCCTGTGACCTTAGTTATTCGGTAAGCCCCAACCTCTTATACATCAGCTCGACTACTTATTAAGGTTAACCAGAGGCATTTGCATTGTGTGGTGAGGTCTGTCAGCCATGAGCAGATTCATCTCTTCTTTGTGACAAGACAAAAAATACACTTGAATGTAAAATGTTTCATGGGACTCATTCTGTTGGGCACGTGGCCCAGTGGTGGGTTGCCCCCGGTTTGCACCAGTTGTATAGAACCGATAGTAAAACTGGCGGGAGGCTCCGCCCACCGACCCCACCATCATCAAAACACTTCCGTGCATGCGCAGAAGCTTCTGTGCTTGTGCAGAAGAGCGTGCGTGTGTGCGAGCAAAGCAAGTGCGCGCATGCGGCCCCACTGCGAACCAGTAGTAAAGGTAAGTAGAACCCACCCCTGACGTGGCCGGATCAATGGGTGTTCTCATTGCTTATCTCTGCTGGGTTTGCTCTCTTTGTATTATTTTAAAAATCTCTGTTTTTCACCTCAGGGGCTGTGTCATTGGACCCACTTTTCATTTCAGTGTCCCCTCTCTCGATTTTGGGAATGTCTCCTTTGGTAAGCCAGTCCTCTACATTCATTTTGTTTGGGGATTCCACTTCGGCCAATTAGTTCAATGTCCATCTAGTCCAAGACTTGCTTTGCAGTCCCAATAAGCCCCCCGGATGGACTCAGGTCCTCCAGGCTAGACAAGGAAGAAATTTGTTTCCTGCTGATAATTTGCTGCCTGCTGAACAAAAGAAAAGCAGGCCCAGATGTCCTAAATGTGCTTCCCTTCCCCACCATTCAGTCAGGACTGAAGAAGCTTCTTGGATGAGAAGCAAAAGCTTCAAGGAAAAAAGCAAGAAAGTCCAGCTGCCTTTTGAAAAGTACCTTTGGGACAACTGTGACCTGGATGACTGAGAACCTCCATAGACATGCCCAGATGTTCAGTGTGTTCACTTTGGAAACAGGGCAAAGGGACGAAGGGAAGGGAAGGGAAAGGAAGGGAAGCAAAGCTCAAGCAGCAGGGACTGCAGCCAGGCTGTCCTGACTCCTTTGAAGGATGGCAACTCTTAGGAGACTCTCAAGGAATCACAAACGCTCAGCTGTGAGGAAAAGGCTCTTATGAGCTGTAACTTGAAAATAATTGTGGATGGAATTTTAATATCTGAGGTAATCCTCAATTTACAACTGTAGTTAAGCCTGGCAATTGCAGTCATAAGTCAGGATACTGGCAAAACAGGTCATCATGTGACTGACCTGACTTTATGATCTTTTTTACAGCAGTCATAGAGCGAACTTGGAGGTTGTAAAATAAAAGTGGTGGTCATTAAATGAACATGGTGGTTGTTAAGTGAACTCGTTTGCTGTGGGCTGGGTGATGCTAGAAGCAGCCACCTTCTCTTCTAAAGCTGTGAAACTAGGAATTTCAGTGATTTTCTCAGGGTTGACGAAAAACAGTGGGAAACGGGCTGCTATTGATTTCAAAACAAAGCAGATGAGCGAAAAGCATTGGGATTTCAAAACAAAGCAGGAGAGTAAAAAGCATTGGGAAACGGACTATCATTTTGTCTGATGCTACCTTTTAAACCGACGTTACTAATGCCCTTATAACCAAAGGCGCTGCTGCCTTTTTTTTTTAAACTGATGCTGCTTTTAAACTGATGCTGCTGCTATCTTTAAAACCACCACTACCCCACTCTTTCATTACTGTCTTTCAATAATATTGATTAATCAAATTGATTCACTGATTACTGATTTAGTGTTTAGTATAACTAATTAATAGTTACTGCTTACTTTAGTATTAATTGTCTAGTTGCTTTAGCATTAATTGTCTAGTTTATTAATTGATTGTCTAGTAGATTACTATTTTAGATAAATTGATTCATTGTCTAACTGATTAATTAATTAATTACTGTTATTAATGCAGTTTTAATTAATTAATTGCCTATCATATTGAATAATTATTATTATTGATTAGTGTGTCACCGATTACCAACAAATAAAAGATTAAGTAATCCATACCAGCAAATAACAGATTATACATCTACAAAACAAGTCCACCATGCCAAGCAAAAGATGCAAAAAAGCCACTACGAATACCTTCCCCCAAAAAAATATCTCTACCAACAATGACCTAGACAACTCCTGTACATGCTTTAAATGTTCTGCAGCTATCAGTAATAATGAAGATATCATTAAATGCCATACATGTGACAATTACGCCCATCTCACCTGCTTAAAATTAACCAAACAAATAGCAAATCTCATACAAGCATCAAATACATTTAAGGTTTAAGGTTTATTAAATTTATATACCGCCCTTCTCGGAAGGACTCAGGGCGGTGAACAGCCAAGATTAAAATACATACAATATAAAAATTAAAATAAATTAAAACAGAATTAAATCAAATTGGCTTCCCAAAATTTAAAACCCTTTACCCATAAAATAACCTATTAAAATTTTAAGCCAGCCCGGCTTGCTGAAATAGGAAGGTCTTCAAAGCTCGACGGAAAGTACGGAGGTCCGGGATCAGTCGTATTCCTGGGGGTAGCTCGTTCCAGAGGGCAGGTGCCCCCACAGAGAAGGCTCTCCCCCTGGGGGTCGTCAGTCGACATTGTTTGACCGACGGCACCCTGAGGAGACCCTCTCTGTGGGAGCGGATTGGCCGGTGGGAGGTTATCAGTGGCAGAAGGTGGTCTCGTAAATACCCGGGCCCTAAGCCATGGAGCACTTTAAAGATGAGAACCAATACCTTGAAGCGCACCCGGAAGACCACCGGGAGCCAGTGAAGCTCGCGCAGGAGAGGTGTTACATGGGAGCGCCATGTCGCCCCCATAATTACCCAGAATTACGGCTGCGTTCTGGACCAGCTGGAGCCTCCGGGTGCTCCTCAAGGGGAGCCCCATGTAGAGAGCATTGCAGTAGTCCAGGTGAGAGGCGACGAGGGCGTGAGTGACCGTGCATAAGGAGTCCCGATCCAAAAAGGGTTGGGATTTACTTGTCACTGTCCATCATGTTTCCCTAAGCAAGACATTCAAAATGTCCCATCTACATCCATTGACATCATAGATGCAAGTTTAGTAACACATTTAGAAACAATTTTAAAAATAAGTTTACAAGCAAGTTTACAAGCATGTCTAACATCTCTTGAAGAAAAAAAAAAAGAGATAAATAAATACCTAAATACTGAAAATACTACCTCAATTCAACAACAACCACCTCAATCTAAACCACAAGTAACCATCAACCCAGCAAATAATTCAAACCCACCAAATAATATATCCTTACTTATCAAAGATGCCATTGAACATGAACAAAAATGTCCAAACGCTATTTTATTTGGCCTGGATGACAACGACAAATCTGATGATATCACAAAGGTTCACAACATTATAAGAAACTCCAATAAACCAAATATCTCCCCAGATGACATCATCGAAATTTCAAGAGATGGCCCTGAGTTCAAATACAATGATGGCTCAGTAGCTCCACGATTTTGCAGTTATTTGCAAAAATGAGTCCATCAAACAATATTCGTACATATAATAAATTCAATCACCAAAACCAACATCAACCATAACAAACTTCACTCTCGTCCTGACTTATCCATATTGCAAAGAATCTGCTCCCGTGAACTCCAATCAGAACTTAAAAGACATCAAGAATAAGGACATACTGACTTATACATCGACTATCGTGCCGACTGTATCAAAAGAAAATCCCACAACCCACATTCTAACACCCAATCCTCCTCCATCCAATCCCCCATCATCCAAAACTAGGCACGCACGCCCCAAACTTCCTCTATAACAACTACTACCGATCTTAAATGCAAGCTACTTAATACAAGAAGTCTTATAAATAAAATACCTGAATTCCTCCTCTTACTAAATACGGCTATATTCGACATTATATTTCTCTGTGAAACTTGGCTGAATACATCCCTCCCTGACTCCATTACTACGGTAAGAGACTATCATGTTTACTGGTCAGATCGTGAAATCCGTAGAGGAGGTGGTGTTGCTATCTTCTACAAAAAGTCCCTACATCTAAAAAATATTCAAGTTACACGCAAACTTGCTCTTCCTGAGACCATCATCTGTGACCTGTTCTTAAATACCACATTTCAATTCTTACTTTGTTACAGAGCCCCAGATTACGACATCGAATATGCGAACAAGTTAACTTCACTACTAACCTGGGTAGCCTCCTGCCCACACCCAATAATCTTTCTTGGTGACCTTAACTTACCACTTATTAATTGGACCCTAAATGAATGTACAACTGAACCTATACATGCAACCCTGTACAATACTGTAACTAATCTGGGACTTGATCAACTACTAACTAACAACACTAGACTCAACAACTGCCTTCTGCAACTTTGGAGCTTAAGCAAGAAGCTCTTGTGCTGAAAGAAAGGCAGGGCTACTGCTTTTCTGATCTCGCACTTCTGTCCAAGTATGCCATTTTTTTGTGAAAATGTCAGTCCCAGCTTAATCTTAGTACCTATTGATACTTTCTGGAAAGGATCATTATAGCATGAAATTCATTACAAGCATGGCTAATGTGGCTTAAAACAGCCATACTTTAGAGAAGGAAGCCCTGGAAAGCTATCTGTTAGGGTTGGTTTGAATCAGGTGAAATGCTCCAGGTTCGGTACAGTTCGCCCAAACTGGTAGTAAAAAAGGCTACTTTTTTCTACCACCAAACCGGTAGTAAAAAAATGTAAAAAAAAAAAAAGTCTGACAATCAGCTGAGTGGCGTGCGATCATTGGAACTTTTTAAAAAACTTTTTTAGCATTTTTTACTACCAGTTGTCCGGAACCGGTAGTTAAAAATGCTTTAAAAAGTAAAAATAAAAGTTCCAAAGATCGGGTGTCGCTCAGCTGATCATCGGAACTTTTTTTTTCTTTTAAAAGCATTTTTTTACAATGTATTTGGGCGAATAGGTTATAAAAAAATGCTTTTAAAAGGTAAAAAAAGGCTCTGACAATCACAGTTGTGGAGCGTGATCATCAGAGCCTTTTTTTTTTACTTTTAGAAGCATTTTTTTACAACCTATTCAGGTGAAAAAAAGTAAAAAAAAAGACTCTGAAGATCGCATGCCACAGATAATCACACACACACACCCTGCGCGCTGTTCTACTTACCCCATGCCTCCTTTTGGCGAGCACTGCGCACGTGTGTGAACCTCACATTTGGTGCATGGTGGGCACTGTGCATACGCGCGCACAGTACTTGTTTGGTGCGCAGCGTGCGTGCGCAACCAACAAACCAGTAATAAACCGGTTCAGTTTTCACCACTGGTTTGAATGCCACTATTGGGCTCAGGAAAGCTGATACTGCTCCTACATTCTCTTTGGTCTTCCTGGAACTGCTTGATGGATCACTTTTGCAAGATCAGTGTGGAAGAGAAGGGGGAGGAAGAATAACAGCCACAACGATAACGATAACAACAATGACAACAACTACAACAAATAATAGTCTGAGATTCAGCTGCTTGTGGCAGTGCTGCCAACAAGGAATGTTGCAGAAAAGGCAGACCAGGGCATCCTGGTTGTGGGGTCTGGATGCCAAGAGTGGCCTAAGGTTGTGGAGGACTCTGTTATAAGCCCCACTCTGCATCCTGGATTTTAGATTGAGTTGAAAGGGTGACCATAGCAGCAGAGGCTCCCTAGAAGATCCAGGTGTTTCACTGGGGGGGGTCTGGAGACCATGGGGGTGCATTTGTTTACTTTTGGTTGCAGAGTTTTGATATAATATGGGTAGGGCTGTGATGGTTGGGAGGTATGGCTAGGTGGGCCTGAGACAGAGGCACCCAGGAGTAGGGGTGATATGTGGGGCGGGGTATTATTGGTACTATTGGGCAGAGCTACATAGAGCAGGAATCTGAGAGTAGGCTGTGTGCAGACTTGCCAGGAATTCTGAGTATGCCTTCTGCCCTATGCGTATTAAACTTTCAAACCTACTTCAGTCAGGAAGTGCTTCTATGAAGGAAATGACTGGCCCAAAGACACCCAATGAGCTTCCTTAGCCTAGGATGAACTTACAAAACACCACATCACACCTCACTGGCTCTCATATCCTTGGTTCCATCTGTTGTCATTCTTGAGGTTTTCCTCCTAAGAGCTGCCCTTTATCCCACTACCCTAAAGGGTGCAAGCTAGCAAGTCCTAAAGATGATTTTGCGTAAAGTGGGAGGGTTTGGTTTGGTGGCCTTTTTCAGAGCCCTCATTCAGATCACTTACAACCTCCATTCTTGCTTCCAGGTTTCCCTCAAACCCTGTCCTGTTGCCTCAGCAACACTTCACTGGTGCCCATGACTTTCAGCCTGCATGTCCCAGGAGATGGTAATGGAGAGCCAAGTATTAGGAGTCAGGATCAAGCCTCTGATATCTCAAGGCCAACATGGAGAAAGGCATGGTTTGCATCTGCAAAGCCCAAGGAATTTACCATCTCTCCCAGCTACGGTACCATTCGCCCACAAGGATTTCTGGACATTGAGGTACAAAGCCACTGAAGCCTTGAAACACCACTGAAATTCAAAGTACAACTAGCTGTCTGTAGAATTTAATTGTGAGAATGCAATGGAAAGACTTCCTGAAGTCAGTCAATGCCCCTTGAAAATGTTGAATACTTAGTGAGTTATTAATTAATTATTTTCCTTGCTCTTGAAAGATTCCCAGTCTTGGATAAAGCGAGTAGCAGATATGACATTTCTTCTCCTTAGGTTTATAACAAAAAACCATTTTTCACATGACCATTACAGTATCCCCATGATCACATGATCAAAATTCATATGCTTGGCAACTTACTCATATTTATGACGGCTGCAGTGTCCTGGGGTTCTCTGATCACCTTTTGCAACGTTCTGACAAGCAAAGTCAATGGGGAAGCCAGATTCATTTAACAACTTTGTTACTAACTTAACAACTGCAGGGATTCACTTAGCAACTATAGCAAGAAAGGTCATAAAAAGGGATTAAATTTAACAACTGTCTCACTTAGCAACAAAAATTTTGGCCTCAATTGTGGTCATAGAGCCTTGGTAGTACAGTGGTTTAAAGCACCCTATTATTAACACAGCTGCCTGCAATTACTGCAGGTTCGAATCCTACCAGGCTCAAGGTTGACTCAGCCTTCCTTCCTTTCTAAGGTAGGTTAAATGAGGACCCAGTTTGTGGGGGCAATAAGCTGACTTTGTATAAATATACAAAAGTATGAAGGCTATTGCTTAATGCATTGTAAGCCGCCCTGAGTCTCCGGAGAAGGGCGGCATATAAATCAAATTAAAAAAAAAAAAAGTCAAAGACTGCCTGTAATAGACTTGTGATTGGTTCCCCCAAATTATGATCACATGATGACTAATATTCTGACACTCTGGAAATGACAGCCACTTTGGCCATTGCAGTCACATGACTGTGACTGACCTTTGGGGCCCTGGAAGGAAAGTGTCCTGTGACTTTCACCTTCCTTCCTTCCTTCCTTCCTTCTCCTCAGAACATAGAATAATTGAGTTGGACGGGAAGGAAGACTTGGAAGACTTCTAATCCAACCCCCTACTCATGCAGAAGAACAAATGGCTGTCCAATCTTTTCTTAAAAACCTCCTGTGTTGGAACGCCCACAACTTCTGAAGGCAAGCTGTTCCACTGGCTTATTGTTCTTAGGGTTGGGAACTTAGTTCTAGGTTGGATCACTCTTTAAAAATCTTCCACTTTTTGTCCTATTCTCAGGTGCTTTGGAAAATAGGGTGATCCTCTCTTCTCTGAGAACCATTCAAATATCGGAAAGCTGTTATCATGTCACCCCTAGTCCTTTTCTTTGTTAGATTAGACATGCCTAGGTCCTGCAACCTAGGCATGTCTATTGTATAATTTAGTCTCCAGACCTCTTATCATCTTTATTGCTCTTCTCTGCACTCTTTCTAGAATCTTAATGATCACAACAATCAAAATTCTGGACTCACTTGTGATTGTAAGTCGAGGACTACCTGTAAGCTTTCTTTCTACAGTACTATACAGTACTGAAAATCACAGTTACGTTGGTTTTGTTCTTTACAAAACAGCTGAAGCATTTCACTAAACCATCTGTAAACTCAGTTATAATTTATTTATTTATGGTTTAACATATTGTGTTCATCTAGCCAATTACACCTCATTTAACAACTCATGTTCAGAACAAACCATGCTTAGTAAGTATGCCTAGTGATATCTAGAAAAATGTCAGCCTCCGCCTTTTTATTGCTTGCTTGCTCGGCTGCCATTGTAACGGGGGGAGGGGGGAGCTGTTTGAATGTCTGGGAGGGGGGAAGTGAGCTGGTGAAGAAGACGAGAGAAAGTTTTCCTCAGCGTTTTCTCTGAAGCTGAGAAGAGCGCTGATAACCACTCAAGGTCAACCGTCGTGGCATACCAGGAGGATGGCACCATCAAACGCACCCCATATGACCCCTGGGGGGGATGTGGATTGGATAATCCTGACTGGACGATTGGGGGGAGGGTTTTAGGGATGCTTTCTATACGTGATTTTTCACGCCTATTGCCTCAGATCTTGCTTTTCTTTGATTGCATTCAGTTCATACTCAGTAAAAGTACCTTTCTCTATGAAAATGGAGCCGGGGTTTTTCTTTCTTGAGTACTGAAAGGAGGCACATCTGACAAATAAACTTTAAAATGTTTGGACTGTTATTCACAATACAGTTTTACAAGATAATTGGAAAAGCAAAAGTAGCATTGATTCTGATTGGGAAGACAGAATTTCAATTTCCCACCTTTTTGCTTGATGGGTAATCATAGCCCAATCACTTCCTGTTTTTTTCTTCTGCAGTATGACTGCCTGAGGTTTTCTGGATATTTCTAGTGTCACAGCTACCAAATAGAAAAAAGGATGAGCAGACAGATAGGTGTATAGTTTATTGAATAGCCCGAAGGCCTTTTCAAACAAAACAGAAAAGAAAAAGGGAAAAAGATAAAACAGTTACAAAAATAGCAATCTAAAAATATATGATAGATGACATTAAAATTTTACCATATCAAATTTCAATAGCTAAGTTGCCAAGACTAGAAGAGTAGATAACCCAAATAGGATAGCTCCTCTCTAACTGAGCTCATCTTTCTTACAATCGATAAAATTTTCCTTGATATAACTGGCTCGTATTGCCGTCAATCTTTTAAGGTATCGAGTGATCGCTCTTACCAGGGGAGGAGAGTCAGCCCTCAACAGAAATGCTAATTTTTGGCTTATATTCCAGTGGGGAAATTTATTTATAATTGGGGACAGATATTGATTTCTAACTTCCTGATAGAGACTACATTCGAATATTATATGCGCCATGTCCTCCACGACGTTTACCCCACATATGCATATTCTTTTGTCATACGGGATTTTTTGATAACGGCCGAATCTAACGTTGGTATCTAGAAGTTCGAATCTAAACTTAACAAATAACTGTCTCTCCACTGATGGCATTTCTAAATATAAATACTTTTCCAGGGTGAAAGTTGTTTTAACTGCTGTCAGCAATTTAAGGGAATGATTAGTTGAAAGGGTTGCCATATCCATTTGCCCATGTATATCTTTAATCCGTTGTTTAACTTGGTTCAGTGTGTCACACAACGGGAACCCTACGCCATATCGGTTCAATATTTCTGACAGCCGGGTTAGCCAGGAATACCTTTGGGGATTTGAAATCAAGCAGACAGATAATTGCTAATTCTATATTTTAGATTGCTACCATAGAGTTTCTTAAGTAATAATTGGGTGGTTTAACTCACCTACCTTTGGGCCCAATCCTCCTCCTTAGGGATCTGTTCATTTTTCTGTTGTTGATTATAGTACGGTATATGGAAATAATAAAGCTAAATCCAAACTTGTCAGTTGGAGCTTTCTGGATAATTGTTCTGTCCCCGTCTCACACACATACACAAACACAGCCGGTGGTTAAATAAACTGGCAGACAACCAATTCTTCTGATAAGAAGCTTGGCAGCAACCCAGTAGCTGCTTGCCAAGAACTTTACTCACAAACAAAATGCACACAGTCAAGAATTGTCCCGTTCGTAAAATAAATCCAAGGCCGATAATGTTGTTTCCAAAGATGCAATGTGACTCGATAGTAGTTAGTTTTGTCCATCACAGAGTCTGAATGGCCACCTCACCCCCTTTTATACCCTTGGTCCAGTGACTCAGCTTAATCTCTGGCATGCCTTTTCTTCTGTTGCGCGCGCTTATCTCTGCGATGCTGCCAAAGATCCAGCCAAGACTCATTTCCCTCATCACTGTCCACCTGTGGTTGCGTGGACGTGCTTGGCCCCGGCCCTATCTCTTGCCCTTCGGCGGACACCGAAGGCATTGCCAGAGAGGAGGGTCCTGGAGCGGGAGGCCTTGCCAACTCCTCTCCTTCACTCTCGGAGTCCTCTCCTGCCGATGACACAGGCTCAGGTAACGGAGCCACAACAATAATGTTCTCCAATACTGTATGTCTCAACAGGCTTGGAACCTCTCCTCAGAAAGTAGAAAGAAATATTGAGCATTTCTGAAAATGGGGTGGGGGTGGGGAATCCATTCCTTGGCTTTCAAATTTTGCAGCTCTGTATGTAACTATATTGAATCAAATTTACTTTTTGATCTTGCCATGACTATTTCTTGGCTCTGGCACTACCAATTTTTGAAAATTCCCCTGGCACACCACTCAAAGACCTAAAATGTGGAATGCTTCGCTCTAAAATGCACTTCAATACAGTAAAATAAATACTGTATTTACTGTAAATACAGTAAAAAAATGATTTAGTTGAATGAAACGCTGTTTCCTCTTCCTACAAAATCCCTAGAGAGTTTTGAATCATTTGTCTCCCATCTTACAGTTTCAACCATGTACTGTAATTTCATGCCTTTCTGAGTTTTTCTTCTTATCTCATCATACAACACAATTCTAATAATCTCCTTGAAGAACCAGGCTAAATTGGAAATATTTTTTGTGGCTAATATTATTTTCAGCTAACATTAGTGATTGATTATTTAAAAAGTTTAAAGTCTTCATTGGTATGTTTGCTCTAGTAATTTTTTTTAAAAGTACATCTATTGTTCTTGCTATATTCAACACTGCATCTTTTGTTATATAAATCTGACTTTTATTATGATATTAATATAAACCGGGGAAACCATATCACTATCACACTCTCCCAGTAGTACTGTACCTGTCAGGTATGCTTCCTTCAGTATCCAGGAAAGAAAACCCCAAACTCAAGCATTTTGAAGAATTTGGTACTTTTACTGAATATGAAAAGATTAACACCCCAGTGAAAAGCTGGAAGTGACCAAAACGCGCGAAATGCATCTACTAAGCTTCTTCCCCCCCTCGTGTTTGTATTTTCTCAGCCAATCTAAAGGTCTTCCAAAGGTCAGGTGGCAACACGTCTGGCAGCGTCATCCATCAGGAATGTCGAGACAGTTGGTTAGCCATCCCCTTCTGAAATCCAGTTTCGATTCCCACGAAGTCCCCTCCTACAAAGACAAACCCCCTCCTGTTCTCTTCCCCCCCTTTGCTCCATACCTAATCCCTCCCCGTTTCTTATGGCAGCTAAAGCAGGAAAACTGAGGCTGACATTACTTCTTGTTTCCTTCAAAAATCACCTATTTCACTTAATGTTAAAAGGAAAATTGCAAGCCTCAGGAAATGCAGAAAAAAGCTCACACAATTGAGTGTGGCCATGTGGTACCTCACATGAACAATTAATTAAGTTAGAATAATTAATCAGCGGAACAACTTGCCTCTAGAAGTTGTGGGTGCTCCAACACTGGATGTTTTTAAGAAGAGATTAGACAACCATTTGTCTGAAATGGTATAGGGCTTCCTGCCAGAACTGGGGGTTGGACTAGAAGACCTCCAAGGTCCCTTCCAACTCTGTTATTCTGTTACTGTAGTACAGATGTGATAGGACACTGAGCTGAATAATAATGGCTCCATCACTTTAATAGCAAATTTCGTGGTCTCTGTTGTGCATTGTGGCCATAAGTGAGAAATAGCTGTAGCACAAAAATAAAATGTAATAGCAAATGTCCAAGCTAGGATGGCAATAATCTCTCAGCAACATGAGAATCCCTGTTTTCCTTTTCCACTGCAGGTGACCATATGCTCAAACACAGTGAAGACCTATGAAACTGCCCTTGTAGTGGACGTCAAAGGGAGTGGTGAGGATGTGCTGGCCCTCCCAATTTCAGCAAGGTACTTTTCATTTCTGCAATGCTGTGGCCTCTATTGTGATTCCAGTCTTCGTCTCCATTCTAAACAAGATAACATGGAAGGGTCAGTAAATAGGGAATGGGAGATTCACTGCAGCCAGGTGTGTGTGACTGGGTGGGCGTGGCCAGGTTGACACGGAGGATTAGGTGCAGCCATCTCAGGGTGGATGACTGGGGCAGCTGACATAGAGCAGCTGGGTGGGCATGGCCAGGTGGGCGGCTCCAGGTGGGTGTGGCAGGTGGGCGCAGAACAAATTGCCCCAGGCAACTGGATGTGGAGCCAACTCGACACCCTGCCACAACAAAAACCACCCAGAGATGTATTGGCAAATGGGAAGTAGGGAAGTGGCAAAGTTTGAAAGGCAAGGGATGGATTCCCCACCCCCACCCAAATTTGCAGAAATGCTGCCTTTTTCTTTCTCTTTCCAAGGAGACCTTATACCATTTCAAACAAGTGCTTGTCCAGTCTCTTAGAATGCAAGATAAGACAAGGCTTGGGCTGTCACTGTGGTTTTCATATTCTTATGATTTATGTTCTTACTTTAGAAAATTACTTTAGAATAACAGAGTTGGAAGGGACCTTGGAGGTCTTCTAGTCCAATCCCCTGCCCAGGCAGGAAACCCTACACCACTTCTGACAAATGGTTATCCAACCTCTTCTTAAAAATTTCCAATGTTGGAGCATTCACAACTTCTGCAGGCAAGCTGTTCCACTTATTAATTGTTCTAACTGTCAGGAAATTTTTCCTTAGTTCTAAATTGCTTCTCTCCTTGATTAGTTTCCACCCATTGCTTCCTGTTCTACCCTCAGGTGCTTTGGAGAATAGTTTGACTCCCTCTTCTTTGTGGCAACCCCTGAGATACTGGAATACTGCTATCATGTCTCCCCTAGTCCTTCTTTTCATTAAACTAGACATACCCAGTTCCTGCAACCGTTCATGTGTTTTAGCCTCCAATCCCCTAAACATCTTTGTTGCTCTTCTCTGCACTCTTTCTAGAGTCTCAACATCTTTTTTACATCATGGCGACCAAAACTGAATGCAATATTCCAAGTGTGGCCTTACCAAGGCATTATAAAGTGGTATTAACACTTCACGTGATCTTGATTCTCTCCCTCTGTTTATGTAGCCCAGGACTGTGTTGGCTTTTTTGGCAGCTGCTGCACATTGCTGGCTCATATGTAAATGGTTGTCCACTAGGACTCCAAGATCGCCTTCACAGTTACTACTATTGAGCAATACCTGTACCTGTGCATTTTGTTTTTCTTTCCTAAATGTAGAACCTTACTTTTTTCACTGTTGAATTTCATTTTGTTAGATAGCGCCCAATGTTCAAGTCTGTCAAGATTCTTCTGTATCTTGAGCCCATCTTTTGGAGTGTTGGCTATTCCTGCCAGCTTGGTGTCATCTGCAAATTTGATGAGTTCCCCATCTATCCCCTTGTCCAAGTCATTGATGAAGATGTTGAAGAGTACTGGGCCTAAAACAGAGCCTTGGGGTACTCCACTGCATACTTCCCTCCGTGTAGATGCAGTTCCATTGAGGACTAAGTGCAGTTAGTCAGCCAGTTACGAATCCATCTGGTGGTGATGCTGTCTAACCCACATTTTTCTACTTTATCTAGTAGTAGGTTATGGTCTACTTTATCAAATGCTTTACTGAAGTCCAAGTAAATTATATCGACAGCATTTCTCTGGTCCACTAATTTTGTCACTTTGTCAAAGAATGCAATTTATTAGTCCAATTTATATGCTGCCTTTCTCCGTAGACTCAGGGCGGCTTACAATGCATTATAGCAATAGCCTGCATACTTTTTTGTATATACCTGCTTATTAGGGCTTTCGGCCCCCCCAAGCGGTATTGTTCTATACAAAGTTGGCTTATTGCCCCCACAATCCGAGACCTCAATTTACCTACCTCGAAAGGATGGAAGGCTGAGTCAACCTTGAGCCTGGTGAGATTCGAACTTGCACTAATTGCAGGCAGCTGGCAGCTAAGTGCTAGCACTTAACGGCACTTTAGTCTGCTGCACCACCGAGGCTCCTAATAAGATTAGTCTAGCATGATCTGGTTTTGACAAACCCATGTTGGCTTTTGGTTATTACTTTGTTTGCTTCTAGGTGTTCAGTGATTCGTTGCTTGATTATCTTTTCCAGAATCTTCCCTGGTATTGAGGTCAGGTTGATAGATCTGTAGTTTTCTGGATCGGTTTTTTTTTCCTTTTTTGAAGATGGAAACTACATCAGATCTTTTCCAGTCCTCTGGCAGTTCCCCTGTGCTCCGGGATCTTTGAAAGATATAGTTCAGTGGTTCTGAGATCTCGTCTGCCAGTTCCTTCAGAACCTTGGGGTGTAATCCATCTGGTCCTGGTGATTTGAACTCATTTAGGGTAGACAGGTGTTCACTTACCATTTTCTTCCCTATTTTAACTTGTGTTCCTAATCTGTTTTTTGTGGTGTTGTTTTTGATAGGTTGGACTGTTTTTTCCTTTTGTGTAAAGACAGATGCAAAAAACGAGTTAAGTAGTTCTGCTTTCTCCCTGTTGCTTGTCACCTTCTTGCCACTTTCTCCCAGCAATGGGCCAATTGTTTCCTTGACTTTTTTCTTGTTTTTAACATGTTGGAAGAAGCTTTTTTTGTTATTTTTTACTTTTGTTGCAAGCTTTTGTTCATTATGAGCCTTAGCTTTCCTCACTTCATCTTTACAGGCTCTTTGCTTATGCTACCCTTGCTTGTAATCTTGGCAGGATGGCCAGATGAGGATCTCTTGCCTGACAGAGCCAAAGGAATGATTTGCATACCCATAAATAAAAGGGACATTTGCCTAGTTTATGTTCAGGTAGACCAACAAATCCAAATTGACATCCGAATCATAAAGAATCTATATTGACATCAGGTAGCAAATGTGAGATTAGGCCAAAAATACTCAGATGATGCAGAAATACGAAGAGGGCTGTTGTCAGGGTTCTGTCTTCGCTGTTGTTTAATATCTACTCTGAGTCAATTTTCAATGAAGCACTGGAAAACGTTGATGCTGGTCTCAAAGTAAATCGTGTTCAGATCAACAATTAAAGATATGCTATCTATAAAACATTTTATATAAATTTTCTTTATATGCTGTTGCCATTGTTAATTTATAATTCCTTTCCCATAGTTGTTGCCATTTCTCTAATTTAATCGTATAGCCAAAAATTTTTCCCACACTATCATTGTTTCTTTTATTTCTTTATCTTCTAATCTAATTTGCAATAGATAATTATATACTTTCTTAATCATTTTTTCATCTGTTCCCATCAGTATCTCATCCAATTCTGATTTACCCATATTAAAACCATACTGTTTAAGATCTTTTTCGTATCTTGATTGTATTTGCAATTGTGTAAACCAATCTCTCTCAATCCCTTGTTTTTCCAACTCTTGTTTTTGTTTTAGTTCTCCCTTTTCTGGTAAAATATCCTTATATCTAACAATATTTTTCATATTAATAATATTTGGATGTGTCAAAGCTTCCATTGTCAAAAGCCACATTGGTATTTCCATATAATATTTTTGTTTCACTCTCTCCCACAGTGTTAATAAACCATTTCTTACATAATGTCTCTGGAAGTATTCATGTATCCTGTTTTTCCCATACCATAAGAAAGCGTGCCAACCTAGTTGCAAATCATGTCCCTCCAAAGTCAATAGTCTTATATTTCTCAAAAAGATCCATTCTTTAATCCACGTTAGCACAGTAATACAGTTCCCAGTTTGGAAGTCCAAGCCCGCCTCTAATTCTAGAATCTTGTAACATTTTTATATTGATTCTTGCTTTTTTCCTTTGCCGTATATATATCAACATTGTCCTATTCAAATTCTCAAAGTACTTTTTCTCAATCTTTATTGGTATCATTTGGAAGAGAAATAAGATCCTTGGCAATATGTTCATCTTAATTAACACTATCCTTCCCATTAATGATAATTGCAAATTTCTCCATTTCTCCAAGTCTTTTTCAATTTGATTTCTCAATTTATAGTAGTTATCTTCTTTGATGGTTACACATTTTGAAGTTAGCTGAATGCCCAAATATTTCACTTTCTTCACTGTTTGAATATTTAGTTTCTCCATTATTTCTCTTTTTTGTTTTTCTATCACATTTTTAAGTAAAATTTTTGTCTTATCTTTATTAATTTTCAGTCCCACTACTGCTCTATATTCCTCTATTTGTTTCAGTAACTTTGGGCCTGTTTCTATAGGATCTTCCATAATAAACACTTAATTCGTAAGATCTCCGACCTCCGGGCGTTTTGAAGACCCTATTATTCCGCCAGGCCGGACTAGCAACACAATAGTTTTTTAAATTGGGATATTTAAATTTATTGGGGTTTTAAATCTGAGCCACTTTATTTAATTATTTTAAATTTTATATTGTTGTTTTGTTTGTGTTTTTAAACAGGCTGTACACCGCCCTGAGTCCTTCGGGAGAAGGGCGGTATAGAAATAAAATAATAATAATAATTTTTCTGGGATCTTGGGTATTCCAGTGTTTTCTAGATATTGTTCTATCTTTCCCTCTGCAACTGTCTCTTGCTGATATAGTCGTTTATAATATTTCTCAATTACTTTTTTCTTTTCCTCATTTTGGTAGCATATATTCCCATCTTGATCCGATAGTTGGTTTATTAACTTCTTTTCTTTATCTTTTTTCATTTTATATGCCAACCATCGTCCTGGTTTATTTGCATTTTCAAAAAAGTTTTACTTTGTTTATTTTATTTTATTTGCCAAATCTTCATTTTCCATTAAGTTCATTTTATGTTTTTGCAAGTCCGTCAAATTCTTAATCTTTTTATCATTGTGAATGTTTCTGTGGTTCCATCTTAACTTCTTTTACTCTTCCTCCAGTCTCTTTTGTATTTGTCTATTCTGTTAGTTCTGTTTTCCTAGATAAGTCATTGTCAGTCCTCTAATATATGCTTTGCTGGTATCCCACACACGTAATGAC